TTCAGCCGGCTGTCGACCAGCACCCCCAGGTCCTTTTCCTCCAGGCAGCTTTCCAGCCACTCTTCCCCAAGCCTGTAGCGCTGCATGGGGTTGTTGTGGCCGAAGTGCAGGACCCAAAGAACTTGGGTTCTTCAGAGTCAGAAACAGAGCATTCACCTGCCTATTAGGAGATCAAAGTCATTCAACTCTTGCAGCTGCTGTTGGCTCTGCTGAGGGTAAACAAGCAACTCATAACTACTAGCACAGAAGCCAGAGAGCACCTTTCACTGCCTACCTAATCACTCTGCAAGTGGACATGAGTTGTACTGAACTCATTGGGAGAATCTCCAGCTTTAATACTATAGCAGGTAATAGGCACAGAAAGCTTTTTTTCTGAGAAATGCAGGGTTTGTGTTTTAGACAGGTGAGAAGTAATGCGTGTTTTCTATGGTTTAAGAAGCAGTCGAGCCTTTTTCATTCCTGTTTGTATATATCTTGTTGGCTGAGCCCTTTTTTAAAATCTTAGCCTGAAACAGATTTCTAAAGTAGAGTGAAAATACAAAAGCCCTTAGTAAACTACTCTTACAAAGGAAGTGTCAATGCAATATGAAATTATAATAGCAGGAGTAACTCCAATATATTCTTAATGAGGCTCTTTAAAGTACTTAAACTGGCAAAAAATAGTTGTAAAAAGAAGCACAAAAACATCTTATTTCTGTTTAGTCTTAGATAATTTTCCTTCCATTGATTTTATAAGAAACAAAAAATGTTCAGTTTCCAATTCCTTATTTCTGAACATGTTTTTAGCAAATAGATACTTACCTGTCGCAACATGACGTCCCATTCCAAATATAGCATAAATAACGACAGGGAAGAAAGAGCCATATAAACCAAAAACTGGATGGACTGAAGACAGAACCGCAAAGGCCAGCCCTATAGAAAGTTAAATGGAATTACTTCAGTATATGAAGATAAAACTGTTCTGCATTCAATTTTTTTTTTAATGAGGAAACGTCTACAATTTTATTAAGAGCAGGAAAAAACCCACCTTCATTCACAAAAACCTAGAGCATAAGCCAACTACTGTACAATGAGGATCAGGTAGAATTGTGGAAGGTTTTTCATCTATTGTCTGTCATCAAAATCCTCACACTTTCTTCTGAGTCTTGGTCACCAGCAGAAACAAATGGGTCACAGATACAATCTATGGCACCAGCTACCATGTTTACAGGTTGTCTCCATTAGTGGTTCCAAACATTTTTTTAACAGACAATCCTCACAGGAGGAGGCAGCACCATTTTACCCCCACCCTCGCAGACACGAATTTGAGACTGCCAGGGCTCCAGGCAGTCAGATGGTTATTTCTTACAAACAGTTCAAAACCTATAATTTTGGTTTGGATGGAGGCCCTTCAGGCTGCTTTCTTCTAATTCCTTAAACAAAAAAAATATTCTGGAGTTCATTGTCTTTAAGTGCCTGGGTTTTTTAATCCTTTAGCTATTAACATTTTTTTTTGTTTGTTATGTAAAGCTGTCAGTCCAGAAACAGAAAGTATTTGACTTTCATGTTGAGATGGAGAATGAACTGAACTGGTTAGGATTTAACTTTACAGACTTACTAGTTACCTTCATTGTTTAGCTATAAAGGACAATATTCATCTTTTTCTTAGAAAGTCTCAGAATATGCCAAGAAATCATCTTTTAACAGATACATTCCTGCAAAGCAGAGCTTTGGTTGCTGTTCAACTTTAGATACCTAAGTCTGCACTGACTTCTTACAAGTCAGCAGAAAGAGACTCCCCAGGCTATGCTTCAGACCAGCAGCCTCTACTGCCATTTCAGTTTTTTCTCCTAGAAACTAAGAGTAGGAGAAATTGCCTGGCAGAGTTGTTCCATAAATCTTGGTGAATACCTTGTTGTGCAGTAGGGAAGACAAGATTGGCTTGTATAACACACAAGGTGCCTTTCTGAAGTCCACCTTCAACCTGCGCGACCAGTCTAAGCTAGTGTATGTGTGTGTGTAGTGGGAGAATGACCATGCATGGCCTGTGACAGAGGTGATTCAGATTTATGAAATGGAGTTGCCTTCTGTGTACATTTGAAATCTCCAAAGAAAATTAAATGTGTAGGACTAATTGTTCTCACCAAACTTTCCTGACTGCTCCAGAAAGCATTTTTTACCTGAAAGGTTGGTGTATGGGGTTTTAATAATATGGAGAGCGCCAAAGGGTATCTTTGCTTATAGGCTTTCAGTGGCAATTCCAAACATTTTGATTCAAGAACTCTCTTCTTGAATTTGCATTTGAGTCTGTAACAAAGAGCACATGGTGGGGGGAGGCAATAAAATGCCAAAAGGCCAGAAGTGTCAAGTTCTCTGTCAAGCAGACAAGGCCTAGCAGTTCACCTGTTCTTAGAAAAACGTCACGGTGAAGATTTTGCTGAGATGGATCTCACATGGATCATCTTCATCCACACTGACTCAGCAAAGTAGCACTATCAGTTATGACTTGGGGAGGAAAGGAAATATTTTAAAACACGTCAGTTTTAAAACTTTGATGCCTTCTCTCAAACAGAAATGGACTTCATTGCTCTTTTGCCTTTTAATTAGCATTATCCACTGATCATCATTTCTGCTTTTTTCTCTTAGCACACCATTATCATGAACCAGAAAGATCTTTGAAATTATAGTTCTATATCCATGTTCACATGATCAGTAGATGTACAAGAAGATTCTGACCAAAGAGCAACACAGAAGGATGCGCTTGAGGAGAATAAAAACAGCACAGGAGAGAACTGCATGACCCTATCCAGACAAAGTAAGCATGGAAAAAAAAAAATTAAAGAAAAGGAGAAAGAGATTTTTAAGGTTTGTTCAACACTGAAAAGCTCTTCCATTTTAACCATTTTATGAACTAAACCAAAAACAAACAAAAACTTTGTAACTAATTCGCTAGTAGATCCCACACAGATATTCCAGCCTTGCAAAAAAGCATTATGCAAGGCTAATTTATTTTACTCTCCAAAAAGTAAAGGAACCAGCAAAATCAGTATAATTTCAGCCACACTTTAATTATAACAACATAATTGAAATGAAGAGGCACAACCTGAATGAACCCTTACGGCCAGAAGAACTGGCCGACAGAAATCTGGCATGAGTCCTGTTAAACTGTCGAAAAGGGGTTACCTTGCCCAGCAAACCCCCAGCATCCAATAGGAATTTTGCTCTACTCACAGACTTGCCACTGAGAAATATCTCTTGTTTACAGGCAGATAATCTAAACATAAATCCGGCCCTTGCTTTTTCCCTTTCACGGTCTTTTTGTATTAAGTTTCTAGAAGTGGTGTCTCATTCTTTTCATGGTGAGGTCATGGCAGTCAGGACACAGCTAAAATTACCAGCCTTTGACTCTAGTCCTGGCTCTGTTTGTTAGCTTTTTGTTCCCACGACTGAAGCATGTCAATCATGTGCAAGAGCAGAGGGGCGTTATAAAACAGAATTAGTAAAGACTTCAGGCTTTCTAATTAGGCATATAATGTTCAAAGGTTCAAATACTTTTAAAGATATAATCAGTAGTATATTTCAGCTCACTTCATAATTTTCTATTAAACTTTGCTACAACGCATTCCATATGCTCAAGAACTAGTCAAAAGACAGGAAATATTATTTTAAGTTTTTTAATTCCAAACAGTAATAATACTCAAAAGAAATAGATCATAAAATAAGGATCCCACATAATCTTCACTGGTAATATGGAGAAACCTCCATGGCAGTGACATTAAGGTTTTCAAATAAGAATACAAATTCCATGGAAAGAAATGCAAACAAAGAATGAACAGTAAGTTTGGATACAGTACATTAATATTGTGGTTCTTTGTTTTAACTACCTCCTTATCATAAGATAACATTGTGCAGCACAGTTTCATTGAAAACCATGCTCTCTGACTAGCACCGGATGCATAACAATCCTCTGGCACGCCACACTGAAAAGCAAGAGATGTTGCACCACTGTTGGTAAATGTCAAATGCAGATAACTACAAAATAACAAGCTTGATACGAAGAGAAACAAGGCCATGTCCTACCACAGGAGAAAGGTCTCAGTTTGTTAAGTTGATAGTTTCTGTTACGAGGCTAGTGCAAAAACTACAGCAGTAAAAAAATACTTTCCATAGAAAGAGCTATGAATCATCAGAGTATGGTCAACTAGTTAACAATTTGTCTGCATCTGGAAATAAGCTTATGATACATACATGTCTTCTCAGGAAAGCTATGCCATGTCTTTTGGAAATATGATACCCAAACCAGAAATTTATATGAAGAAGCAGGAAAAGTAGTAAGTCTATAATTGATCTGAAGAGTTTCAAAATTTGTATCATTTATTCTTTACTCTGAAAAGCTATAAATTTCAAAGTTTTTCTGGTAATATATATATTCAAATGAATTTTAATTACTGTAACCTTTCATTCTTAAACATGACTATATTAAGATAGTCAAACCCCAAGTTCAGGGAACCCAAAATGACACTAATACATCTTATCCCACTGAAAATGCTATCTGCAGTTGTGGTCACTCTCTGATGCTTCAGAAGATGACAATTTCTCCCTTTGTTCACAAAGCTGAATTATGTAATAATAAAGGTATTTCCTATAGATGCCCTAAAATGTAGAATTAACACATATTTAATGAGTATCCTATCAATCCCTCTTGGAGAACCAACAAATCAGACACTCAATGATTCATATCGCAGGCTTTAATTTCTAACTCCAGGATAGCTAACTTCTACTGAAGAACAAAAAACCACCACAGAAAACAATTTTAATATTATATTTCATAACAATTTTCCTATACAAACCCACAGTTCTGGAAGATTCTTTGACACTGGCTTGTTAAGAGCTATTAATACAAAATGATCCTCTGGAAATAATGTCATTTACCTCCAAAACCTGGAAAGCTCAGTATCGGTTCTCTTAATGGTGCACACACACACCTCATGCTTGCAAGGCCTCTGTTTCCTAAGGGCACCATTTGCTGGGGCTACACACATGTGGATCATACCTTCTGTCTGACTTATTTAACGGCAAAATACAAAGAGTTTAAAATCATTCCTTAGTTCTTCTGTCATTCAAAGCCTGAGGCAAATGAAGAATCTAAAAGCAAGATGGGAGGACAGATTATGCAAAACGTACCATAAATCTTTCGGGGACCACACAACACTGAGTTAGCAACCATTCTCTCTTTTTTGAAGGATGCTTCAGTGCAGTTTCTTCCCATGCAACTGTCTCCTTCAGTGTGGTGAGAATTAAGCATCTCAGCTGTATTAGTCATACAGTATCTGAAATGCAGCTCTCCCAGTGTACCATCTGACAACTACATCAAAGGTATATTTGAGAAAGCACTGTTCTCTTCTGCCACTCATGCAGATTTCCAGATACTGACACTTGTATCTTGATGTTCAAAAGAAAGGATATGCAAGTATTATGGTAGAAGAAACAAGTGGACTGCGTGACCCATTTATGAATTCTCTATTCGAGATAGCTTGACCCTTCTGTATATAAAAAAGCTTGGATACACCCAAAAACAGACAGGAAAAAAAAAATCTAGTATTTTCTTTTCTTTTAATGGATCTCCTTGGAAAAAAAGCTATGACTATTGGGAGATAATCAGAGGTTAAATGTTTCGGCCTCTTTAGGATGAATTTGACACAATATCTGAACAGCACAGAGATTTTATAAACTATTATACAGAGAATTCTATGAATTATTATATATATACATATAACTCTATCCCTGCTGAAACCAGGGCAACTGGTCAGCCATAATACCTGAACAATCTGGCCATCTCCAAAATAAAATTAAAGAGGCATTTTGAAAGTGGATTATAGGGAAATTCCTCTGCATCTCAGTAAGAATAAACAGAGAATGAAACCCATAAGAAG